GGGTAGAAGTATAAAACTAAAAGCTCTGTTTCTGAATGCATGTAGAATTCAAAACAAAACAGATGAACTGAGAGTGCAAATAAAACCGAATGAGCACAATCTGGTATAATTACAAATACATGGCTGCAGGGTGACTGGATTGATACCTGACTGTTGAAGAATACATGACATTTAGGAATGACAGGAAAGTAGGAAAAAGTGGAGAGGTAGCTGGATTAGCAAATGATGGTTTGAAGGAGAGAGGAGCTGATCTAGAATTATGTTCTAAAACTTAAATAAGGGCAATAATGAGGGCATGAAAGCAGAGCTGGCTAAAGTGAATTGGCATAAAATGCTTAAAAAATGGGTCAATAGAGATGGAGTGGTAGACATTTGAAAGGATATTTCATAATACACAGAACAGATATGTTCCACTGAGTAGGAAAAAAATCTGATTCTAACCATTCGTGGTTATCTAAAAATGTTAAAGATAGTATCAAACTTAAAAAAGTCATATAATTCTGCAAAGATAGGGAGCAGGTTAGAAGATTGAACAGCAAAGAAAAACCAAAAACAGTGAAAAATTAAACCTGGCCAGAAACATAAAAACAGACAGTAATGGCTTCAACAGACATTTAAAGAAAAGTTAACAGAGTGAGTTTTGGTCTGATAGAAAATGAGACTGGAGAATTAGTAATGGAAAATGAGCACTGGTAAATAAATTGAACAGGTTTTTGCATCAGTCTTCTCTACAAAGGATATAAGTAACACTTCAGAACCAGTCATAAATCAGGAAATGGAAGAGAGGTTTGAGCTCAGGAAAATCACAATCAAAATGATGCTAAATAAGTTGTTGGATTTGCAGGCTGATGAACTTCATCCTAGGGTCTTGAAATAAGTGGCTGGTGATAGAGTTGCTGAACTGGTTTTAACTTTTTGAAAACTCCTTTATTTGGGCATGATCAGCTAGATTAGAAGACAGTGAATGTAACTCCTTTACTCAAATAAGAGACAGAAAGCAAGAATCTACAGGCTAAGCTATCTTAACATCTATCATAGCAAAAATGTTAGAAGCAGTTATTAAAGATGTTATAGCACAGTGCTTAGGTAAGGGGTGGCAGAGTGGGTAGCACTGCTGTCACATGGCGCCAGGGACCTAGGTTCAATTCCAGCCTTAGGCTACTGCCTGTGTGGAGTTTGCACATTCTCTGAGTGCTCTGGCTTCCTCCTACAGTCCAAAGATGTGCAGGTTAGGATGGGTCGTGGTAAATTGCCCAGGGATGTGCAGGCTAGGTAGTTTAGCCATGGGAAATGCTGGATGGTATGCCCTTCAGAGAGTTGGTATGGACTCAATGGGCCAAATGGCCTGTTTCCACATGGTAGGGATTTTATAATAAATATGAAGTAATCAGGTAGAGTCAACATGGTTTTATTAAAGGGAAATCATTTTTGACCAATCTATTGGAGTTCTTTGCAGAGGTAATCTGTGCTGTGGATAAAGGGGACCATTCGGATATACAGTGCTTTGATTTCCAGAAGGCATTTGATATATTGACACATCAAAGGTTGTTGCAAAAAAATAAAACCTCCTAGTGTAGGGGAAGCAAATTAGCAGGCTAACAGGAAGCAAAGAATAGGAATAAATTGGGTCTTTGCATTATGGCAAGATGTACTGCATGATAAGCCACAGGGATCAATTTTGGGACATCGACAGTTTGCAATTTATATAAATGACTTAGATAAAGGGACAGCAGGTACGTTTGCCAAATTTGCTGTTGAGACAAGGATAAATAGGATATTAAGTTGTGAAAAAGAGGATACAAAAAGGTATTGATGGATTTAGTGAACAAAGATGTAGGAAATGAAGTATAACATAGGAAAAATGTGAAATTGCCCATTTTGGCAAGAAGAATGAAAAAGAAACACATCTTCTAGATGGTGATAATTTGTAGAGCTCAGATGCAAAGGGATCTGGATGTCTTTGTACATGAATTACAAAAGTTTAGTATGTAAGTAATTAGGAAAGCTAATAGAATGTTGTTGATTTATTGCAAGAGAAATTGAATACAAAAGTAAGGCCGTGCTTCACTTATGCAGCTGGGGAGTTCACTGCACAGTACTGGTCACTTTAGTTAAGGATGTCAATACATTGGAGGCAGCTCAGAGAAGGTTTACTAGACTAACACTTAAAAGTAGGTGGGTAGTCTTTTGAGGAAAGGTTGGACAAGTTAGGCTTATATCCATTGGAGTTTAGAAGAGCAAGAAATGACTTAATCAAAACATAGAAGGGTCTTGACAGTGTAGATGCAGAGAGGATATTTCCTGTTATGAGAGAATCCAGTACTGGGGTTAAAAGAGATTAAATTAATTTTTTTTTAGTTGATGACTAGCCGTTGTAGGGAAAATAGCAAACAATGACAAGACAGAATACAGGAAAGAGATAGAGTGCTTGGTGGCGTGGTGTAAAGATAACAATCTCTCCCTCAATGTCGGCAAAATTAAAGAGCTGATCATCGACTTCAGGAAGCAAGGAGCAGGGCACGCCCCTATCTACGTCGATGGAGCTGAGATGGAGATGTTCGAGAACTAGGAGTGACGATCAACAATCTGTCCTGGACCACCCGCATTGATGAGACCGTCAAGAAGGCATAACAATGCGTCTTCTTCCTCAGAAGACTAAGGAAATTTGGTACGTCCACAAGGACTGTCACCAACTTTTACAGATGCACCACAGAAAGCATTCTATCTGGATGCATCATGGTACAGCAACTGCTCTGCCCAGGACCGTAAGAAACTACAGATTTGTGAACACAGCCCAGTCGATCAAGCAAGTCAACCTTCCATCCATTGACTCCATCTATACTTCTTGCTGCCTTGGAAAGGCAGCCAACATCCAAGACCACTCCCACCCCACTTATAATCTCTTCTAACCCCGTTCCATCAGACATAAGATACAAAAGCTTAAACGCACGTGCCAACAGCTTCTTCCCTGCTGTTATTAGAATTCTGAATGGACCTCTCAAATTTCAAATCTAATGTCGATCTTGCATTTTGTGCACCTTTTTTTGCATCCATAACTTTGTAATCCTCACTCTGTTCAATCACCTTACGATCTTTGTATGGTATTTTATGACTTGACTATATTGCACACAAAACAAAACTTTTCACTGTACTTCACTTCATGGCAATAATAAATCAAATCAAATATTGAGTCTTTGGAATCCTGTTCCTGAAAAGATGCATGAATATTTTGATGGCAGAGGTAGATAGATTCTTGTTAAGCAAGGGAGTAAAAGATCATCAGGGGTAGTTAGGAATGTAAATTTGAGATTACAAATAGATCAGCCATGACACCTTATTTAATGTTGGCTTAGGCTAGAGAGGCTGACTGGCCTACTCCTGATTCATGCGTTTTTCCTGTTATTTGGTGAGAATATTTTCAATACCACACTTTTAAATCTTGAAATGAAAACCATCTGGCACTGTGGATTTATCACTGTTAGGTACAATTAATTCATTACAATTATTTTGTTCACTTTGACTCAAAAAGATTAGTACCCCTTATTCAACAATAGATCGAGGGCTGTGTTATTATAAATACCAATTCAAACTCGTTATTCAGCATGACCACCATTCATTTGTTCTATTAATAATAATACCGTAACATGTTTAAGAAATATGTATTATTATCACCCACATTTTGCTAATGCAATTGTAAATGTTTTGTTGATTTTGCAGCTTATATCTGTAATTCTTTGCATCTTTTGTCGGGAGCTGTGCTATTTTCGCAGGCTTTAATTTAGTTTATATCATCGTTCATCTCCTTAGCTGTCGATGACTGTCTTTGATTGCAAGTAGACTTCTTGGCCTTTACGGTATAAACATGTTCAACATAATGATATTTCATTATGTTCCTACGGCTAATTTAAAAAAAACTCATTAAAAGTTTTGCAACATTTAAAATGGAAATTCTGTCTCAGACCTCTGAAGTTAGCCTTATATAAATCACGAATTTTAGTAGTTATTTTGATACTGAGGCAGCACATGACTAATGGTGTTCTGCAAGGAGCTGTGTTGAGATTGGGACTATTCAATATATTCATTCAAAATTTTAAATGATGGCATACAAAGCAGAATACCCAAATTGCTTAGCAGATGCTTGATTATTCTTGATATCAAAGCAGTGTTTGGCTGGATGTGCTGTCAAGGAATCCAAGTAAAAGCGAAGTAAATAGGTATTAAGCAAAACATTCTATTAGCTGCAGTTAAACCTAACACGAAGGAAAATGATCAGAAACAGCTCAGGCCAAGGACGCACAACAGCAATATTCTGGTTTGAGTTGATAATATGCAAGTTCAATATCTACCATGCAATGACCAACCCCAAGGACAGAGAATGTCTAACCATCTCTCTTTGACAGCCTGTGGCATGGTCTTCGTTGAATTCTCAACTAACAACATCTTAGGAAGTCAACCTTTGAACTGAAACTTAACTAACCACATAAGTAACATGGATACAAGAGTAAGTCTGATTTTGGTTTTTCTGTGTTGATTCACCTCCTGATTCGTCAAAGTCTCTTGGTACAAAGACATGTCAGGACTGGGATGGAAGGCAATTCACTTGCCTGGAAGGGTGCAGTTCCAGCAACACAATGTCAACACCATCTAGGACAAACAAGCCCATCACACACTACCTTAAACAATCATTCTTTCCATGCATCAGTGCAGCATGGCTTACAAGATGCATTGCAACAACTCACTAAGGCTCAAAAGCATGACAAGGACAGCAGACGTATGGAAACAACATTACCTACAAAGTCCCATCCAAGTCACACACCAACACAACACTGATATATATTGTCATTTCTTCATTGTAACTGGGTCAAAATCCTCGAATTTTTTACTTAAAACTGCAGAGTTACCTTCACCATATGGATTTTAGTAATTCAAGAAGGTGCTTCATCAACATCATCCCAAGAATAAATGGAAATGAGTAATAAATGCAGGCTTCACTAGAAGCATCCAGATCCTATATATGATTTTTATTTTTTTTAAAAAATAATTCATTAAAATTGCTGCAGACAAGATTTACAAACATTAATATTCTCCATAGAAATTAGCTTATATTTTAAATATCAATGTAAATATTGGTAATCGACTTGAATCTTAGATCACAGCACAAAAGTACGGGCCAATATAAAAGCTAATACATTTTAAATAACAACAAATGGGAAAAGTAAACATTTATTTTATATCAAAGAGACATTCATTTTCAAAGTTGAAGTGGATTGATTGCTCAGGATTTTTTAAAAAAGATATCAAATCCTTAACAAAACCTAACAGGTCCTTCTATGAAAAAAAAACATAACAGTTTAGTTCATGGGTTTATGCCCCAGAAATTATCTCTTCTTTTCTGAGCACGCTCAAGGACTTGAGAGGCAAGTGAGCTGGATGCTGCCGATCGTGCAGATATCTGTGACATTCGATCATCTTCTGAAAGAGAGAATAAGATGGAGTTGAATCATATTTACTAAATTATTCTAAAGGCTTTATGAAGACAATTCATATATCACATATTTGCACAAAATAGGAGAGTCTGGATTCTAATTGGCACTCAGCTGCGCTAAAGTGCTGTACCTCAGTGTCAGAGAAACTCAGCAGGTTTGGCAGCACCTGTTAAAAGAGAAACAAAGTAATTATCGAATCCAATGACCTCTTCAATTCTGTTCAGAACATTAACATTCAGAAACATTAACAGCTTCTTTCTTCACAATGCTGCCAGTCTTGCTGAATTTTTCCAGCACTTTCTTTTCTTTCAAATCTTCAGCTTGTGCAATACTTTGCTTTTATCATCTCGATGTTTACTAGGTTGCACTAATTTTAGTTATTCAAACATGGGTTAGAATCAGAACCTGGGATAAAAACATTCAGAATGTGATAGGCTGACAGAGTTAGATGAAAGAGGATGGGAGCAGGTTAATGTGGTATATAAACAACAGGATAGAACAGTTGGGCTGAATAGCCTGTTTTTGCTGTACATTCTATGGAACCTACACTTCAGTCTCTGCTCCTTACCATCTTTCCAAATTGAAAAATCTACTTGTCTATAAGAAATCTAATCTCTTTAAAACTTATTCCTTCTCCATCCATTGGTGGCATTGGTGAAGGCCAGAGCCCCTCCTGTGGACTTATCAAAATATATTCCGAACAAAAGCTAAATACCAAAAGCACATACAAGAAGAAAGATGTGGTTAAAACGTGACAGTGAACAACCTTCAATGTTTTGGGCTTTTACTTTGAGGTGATTTTGACACAACATATTTAGATCACATTCATAAGACAACACTCGCTACCTACAGCAGTGTATGTATTTCTGCCTTCTGTATATATAAATAATCTGTTGACATCAGTTGGTCAAATGGAGAACCCCTTCATTGTATTCCAGCTTCCTTAAATATGATATAATCTCAATTGATCTGCCTTGACTTTTGAGAGCAGATGAATAAACACTTCAATGGATCTTGCACTCAGTTTAAAAACTGATAGACATATTAAACAATAAATGGCAAAACGTACAGATAAAACTATACATGATTATTTATTGTACTGTCAAACTTATAGCTGTCACTCCTTTTAAGGCAGAAAAAATCTGTTGGGTATACTAAAATTTATAATTCTGTTTTTTGAGCGACTCTTTGAGATAACTCATCTTTATGGCTCATCTTTCCTGTAGCTCGAACTTCTGTAATTAAGCATTTCCTCTCCAGTTTATTTGAACATGGTTAATTTAGGGGGGCATGATGTCTCAGTGGTTAGCACTGCTGTCCCAGAGCACTGGGGCCTGGGTTCCACACCAGCCTTGGGCGATTGTGTGTGTGGAGTTTGCACATTCTCCCCGTATCTGCGTGGGTTTCCTCCGGGAACTCCGGTTTCCTCCCACAGTCTAAAGATGTGCAGGCTAGGTGGATTGGCCATGCTAAATTGCCCATAGTGTTCAGGGATAAGTAGATTAGGTGCGTTATAGGGGGATGAGTCTGGGTGGGATGCTGTGAGTGTCTGTGTGGACTTGTTGGGCTAAAGGGCCTGTTTCCACACTGTAGGGATTCTGTGAAAAATAGTCACAAATACCACAAGTTAAGTTATAAAACTATATAAACAGCTAGACAATAACATAACTTTTATCAGAATCTTTGCTGAAATAATATTACAGCTGCTCTTTGAGTTATAATTAACAATTAAATGAGATGGCACAGTGTTAGTTTACAGCAGGCAATTTCATTTTGTTACAACTTTAAAATCTTCAAAATACCATTTTCAGCTGCAACGGAGTCTGTTGGCGGTATCCTCAGCAGACTTGTCCTTAGTCCTCCAGTATTCCCTTCACATATAAAATAAGTTATTATTGTTAAATCACCATAGCCCTTATTTACAGTTTCTTGAAAGATTTTCTTAATGCTAAAAACATTACAATTCCTAACAAATATATCAACACAGAAAACCATGCAGAATAATTGGACTCAATTCCCTTCTGTAACCAGGAGCTGCAATCAGAACACCACATTCACCATCAAAATTCACTAAAGAACAGAGAATTCACTTTACAAGAGAACCAGGCACTGTATCAACAATTTTACTTTCACAGTTAAGAAAGACAGGGCAGCTACCTACACTGTACTAAGGAACTGAAAATTCCAAATGACTGAAAGAAAAGACCACAGTAATTTAGAAAGGTGTAAATGTCACTAGAAAAGTTATAACTTCACTTTACTGATGTTGTATCTATGCTCATTTCAATAAAGTTATGAATTTTCAGTCAGCTTGTCCTGCTGCTTTCAAAGATTTCTATATACATTCCCTGAGGTATCACTGTTCCTGCACATGATTTAAGATTATGCCATTTTGTATTAAATGTCACGTTTGCCCAGTTACACCAGTCTGTCTATGTTCTCCTAAACACTGACGAACATGTTGATTACCATTATGTTGGAACTCCGGATGTCTAAGAGTTCCTTGTATCCGATGAGGGCAGCTCGGAGATGGTAAAAGAGTGACTGAAGCAGATTTTGCATTAATAGCAGGATGACATTTCAATGACGTCAAAATAGAAGGTTCAGATTTTGCGTGAGATGGGCTATTGAGATTTGCAGATCTGTATTCTTCCCTCAAAGGAATGGGATCTGAAGTCTTAATACCTGCTGTAGGGGACTGCTGGAGTGATTCAGTCTGAAAAAAACAGTAAGAGCGTTATTTGCATATGTATAGCATTCAAATTGAATACAATGCTGCAAAGATTACAAAATTATCTGGTACATCATCTTCATCTAGTGACTTAGTGGGTAAATGAAGCCATACAAGTCAAAGAGGTCCCAGGTTCCACTGCAGGGTTGCACAAAGTTATTTCAGCTTAGGCAGTGGCGGGGAAACCACAATAACTTAATGGCTAAGCAGGAGGGAAATCTTCTGGGGTTCCAACTCTGAACAGTCTAATAGTTCTACAGTATTTCTCTAATGAGAGTCAACATAGATTCAATAGGCTGATTGGCCTTCTTTATTTCTATAATGACTCTGGAACTCTTGTTAGAAAGTCCAAGAGTGTAAAAAAATTGAGTTTGACTATGAGGTAGTTTGGGGTCAAATAATTTAACAGACGCTGATTATCTCAATTTACAAGGAAAATAGGCACTCAGGCAAACTTGAAAATGCTAGTTTTTTTTCTATCCATTGCATCCCAAGATGCTTGTGTTTTAATTTATTTGCTAAAACACACTTATTTACAGGAATCTGGTATGCCATTTTTAATTAAAACTATTTTCCCTAACCCAAGAGCAAAGAAGTCAATTCAAGCTCACTTACTGGCACACTATCCAAGACCAGCTAATTGGTCATAGATGGTTTGAACTTTAGACCTGCTGGAACTGTACAACCTAAATTGGTCAAGGAATACCTTTTCGATTGGAAGTCAAGACATCTCTCATATAAAAGTTCTGTACCTTTTCTAGTATTTTGCTTGGTGATTTTGATACGTATTTATAGCGTGAATATGATTTTCCCAACGGAGGCCCAGTCCTTTTACAATGGGATGGTGGCGATCTGACTTTACAAGGAGAAACTAAGACAGCACCCCCTGGTAGAAAGAAATCAAAATTAACATGTAACAATTATTAGATGGTTAGTCGAAAAGGGGTTTGTAGAAGAGATTCAGGCACTTTGTATAACCATCTCTATCCTTCTACTTACACATACTACCTGCAATTTCACACAAAACATTCTGGACTACAATCAAAGTAAATGTTTTGTTTAAAAAATTACGGATTCCTTTTAAAAACTATTAACTGATCATTTTCTCCTGGGCTTTGTAAATTGGTCATTGTTCTGCAATAGTTAATTTGCTGCAATTTTAAACATCTTTGTTTCTGGTATTTGTAGTTCACCACATTGCTGGCTTTCTGCATACTGTGGATAATTGCTACAAACCATAGTCTTAAATAATTAACCATTCTGGTTACCGTGGTGATTTACAGAATGTATGGAAACTCTTCATTATGAGTTCAGGTTTTATTAAATCATAATTAATGTTGGTTAGCTTTTCTTTGCAAAATTAATTATTCTTGAAACTCGCCTCCCTTCTTGCCTACATTTCTGCTTATCTGATCACTTCTTACATTCTGCTTAAATTTCTGCTTATTCTCTAGAAAGTGGGGATTAAGAATCCCACTAACAAAATTAAATTTATTCATGCAACTGAGCCATGATTAGCTGATGTTAGCCAGTATGAATACGCTTACTTCCCATTAGATAACACTGAGCAGCAAGAAGTTTAAACATGTGCATGGTGCAGCTGGAATAAATGAAGAAGGGAGCAACTTGGGGTAAACAGGAGAAAAAAAGCAAATTAGCAAGCTAGAATATATTTTATAATGAGTTGTTCCAAAATAGCACACAAAGCACACAAATGTACATTCATCAACGCTCTTATTACAGTTACAAATTTCCACAACTTTTGAAATCACACCTGTATGTAACAAATAAGTGGAAAATCTATAATTAATGTAGAAAATAGTATTTGCACTAAATTAAAAAATGTCCATACCAACAGTTGGTGTGGTCAGATCATGATGTGTTCTCCGAGTTCCACTAGTTGACTTGAGCTTTGGTGTAGGTACTCGCCCACCTGTATCAGAATCAAGCTCGGAATGTTCATTTGACTCTGAATTTACTGTTGTCACACCCTGTATATTTACAGGGACAGGACCACTGGAAATTTAATTAAATTAATATTATTCCATTCTTAGAGCAATTAGTCCATTTGGTTGAAAAAAGGAACTTGTACAGAAGAAAATTAAAACTGTACAAATATGAGCTTTCTTAAATGGTGCAGAGAACAGCTACAAAAAATAAGAAAATTTCTATTGAACGGATAATTAATTAAAAATATCACTTGAACACTTGTGCCAGCTATGTTTTATTTCTGTAACAGTTAAAATTTAAAGTTAAATGGGGACTATTCACGCTTTGAGATTCAGCCAAAATCCCACAGATAACTTTATATTAACCCTTCAAGTACATGCAGAAAATACGTAAAGTTACAATTTTACACTAGACTAGCAGTACAATTGCAACTCAGTAGTTATCATAATTATTATAAATGGTTCTAACATGGGGAAATAAAGACAAAACTTAAGGACTGTTCATTTCCTATACATTTCAAAGGGGTCAAAGCAAGGTTGACTAATATAAAAGGCTGTGATACAATTCCATTCCAAAGTTTTTAGACTCATTTTAATACTTTTCCCAAATAACCACTCCTCCAATTAATACATCAATACCTTTCAACAACTGTTTTTACTTCCGCATTTCTCTCAACTTCAACTTCCTTCTCAGTTTCATAACTTTGGCTTTGGTTGCCTTCTGGTAGTTCTGGTACACATGGCTTCTCTTCCTCGTCATTCCATGCCAATTTCCTGCTGACTGGAAGGGTAGGAATATCTGACATATTGTTGTCTCCTGTGCCATTGTATTTTGCTGTGGCCTTCAGTGGTGACATTTGTGCTACAGAATCAGACTGCAGTTCTTGTTTTGTTGCGCTGGAAATATTTGGTATTTCTGTTGCTCTAAAAATATTAAACAAATATTCTCTAAGATATCAATATTATGGGATATTTGCACATCATTTAGCTGGATAGAGTAGCAACATTTACATGTAATTCATGGAATGTGTTGGTTCAACAAAGCCACTATTTGTGTATAAATAGGAGCATTTTAAACATTTTTGAGAGGTATTCAAAATTAAATAGCCAAACTCTTAGTGTTGCACAAGAAAGCATTGTGAGGCTCTAAATTTGATGGCTAAAGATTAACCTACATTTGCCACTGTATGAGAAAACACGACCGTTGCCAAAGGATTTAGACTACTTCCTGCTGCAACAGCATATGTTAAAAATAAGTTCCAAAATATATACTAATCTACTGATTGACATTTGCATAAAATTACTTTCAATTAATTTACACACACACAAACAAATACAGAAACTGCTGGAAAAGCTCAGCAGAACCTTCTGAGGAAGGATCACTCGACCCAAAATGTTAACTCTGATTTCTCTCTACAGATGCTACCAGACCTGCTGAGCTTTTCCAGCAGTTTCTGCTTTGTTTCTGATTTACAGCATCCGCAGTTCTTTCGATTCAATTAATTTATACAGGGTTATTAGTCATTAATCTACACCTTGCAAGGTCCAGAGCTTCAATATTATCACTGACTGTTTCTTCAGTATCAGATGTGGTGGACACCTCCCATAACCTATTTTGTTCTGACAAAATTTGGGTGAGATGATCTCTGGAGAAGTGAGTGCCCAGTGCTCTCCTTTTATATGCTTCTGCTTTTTCTCTAAGTTCTTTTACCTGTGACAGCAGAGCAGAAGGATAAAAAATCTACAGCAGCTTTTATCAGTCAATCCATAAAATTGTTCAGCTCCTGTTATGTTCAAGATTGTGTAATTTTAAAATCTACCTACAGTTAAGAGTTCTTTCTGCTCTAAGTATATAAAACAGTTGCTGGTCTTGTATCTTCAAAAACTGCAAACATATCAAGGTAGTTGCTAATTATAACTATTTAATAGAAAAAGTTCACTTTGCTAAATATGTATTTATTCAAACAAGAATATGCATGGAAAATACAATCTAAAAACTAACCTCAGCATACCAATAAGAATTTAGGTTATTTTCAGTACCCTACAGAGAAAGAAGGTAGAAATAATTTTAAATAGTTTGCTTTTGAAAATCTAATACTACAAAATATATTTTAAATTGAAATTAGTGAAACATCAATAATATGCTGCATGCATTGACTGAGGAATTGCACCATGGTACAAAAGCGCCACCTGGAGTGTCCTATAAGGCCAGTTTTAAAAATATAACTGAATGAATTAAAATCTTCAAAAGCAGAATTTCAATTATATTAATATTCACCATTATCACCAAGGTATTGAATTCAGTTAGACTATTTTCAAATTAATTGACCAGTTTAAAGGATTCCAATAAATTTCAGAGTTTTAGAAGCAAGTACCGGCATTAGGCTGTGATCCATTGTTCACCTACCCCTTCAGATCGGTATGCTCCTCTACTGTAGTCATATTGACAAGGAGGCCTAAACTTAGTCTTGTATTCAGACTTAATCTTCCTGGAAAAAAGAAAATACGAATTGTAATTTTTGCAAATTTGAATGTGGCAAATCATACCTCATAGTTAATTTGCACATTTTAAACATACAAAGTTTGTACCTAAGCCCTTTGCGTGAGCAAACGGGTTTCTGTTGCTTTGGAAGCTGTTTATCTTGAGGATGTTGTTCCTGAGTCTCCTGTCCCTGGTCTTTTAAAGCTGATTCTGTTGACTTAGGATGGACAGGCTTCAGCTTAGTACACTTAATAAATTAAAACGCAAAGCCCAAGCATGCAATAATGAATGCACCACACATTTTTCACAACTTCTCTTCAAAAAAAGTTAGGTTCCTTTGATTATGATACTGCTTACACTATTGTAAAAAATATTCATTTGCAAGAAATGGAAAAAAAAAACAAAATTGAATCTTTAAGAATAATAAATAAGAATGGAAAGAAACAATATTTGAGGTAGGTTTCAACTATATTTGATATATTTCTGATCTCATTTTGAAAGTAGGTACAAAGGTTAGATACTACTGTGCACTGATGAGCAACATGCCAGAACGGTAATCCCTTGTGACAATGTGAACTCACAATCTATCATGATATCAAGAGAATCGATATCCCTGCAGAATCATCTAATAGCCATCTACAGAGATCTGAAAGCTGATTCCTTGTCAACCTTTTCTGCTGGGGAAGGTTGACAAAAAGCATAGAGAGGGTGAGACATTTTAAGACATGTTCAGCAGCTTCACAACTAAATCACCTTTTTTCTTGACTGTAAACAGAAAAACTGAGCAAAGTATATCCAATTACCTTTACAGGAGAAACATTTTCTTGGTGAAACGCTAAAGCTTCTTTTCCTTCAAAATCTTTACGGAACCGCAATCCTTTAGGTGGCTGCATACCTTTAAACTGACTTGAATATTCAGTTTCGTTGAGCATCTTACTGAATTTAAATGGATGCACATGCTTATTTCTGGAGTGAAAAATCTAGAAAAAGGGACAATATTCTTAATGTTATGAATTATAAAGATTATAGCCTTTAAGAAAACTTCCTACTACAATC